TCATTTCTAGAAATTTACACTTTATCTCAATTTCAAAATATACTTTTCGATGAGAAGAGTTTCAAAAAACTCTTTTCGATTTAAAAACTAAAATTGGTTGAATTTTTTTACGGTTGGATGTCTCACCCACTCTTAACTCAGCCTAATTAATGTGACAAACTTATTAATTAGTGTGTGTTCAAATCTACCTCTTGTGTAACTTATTTTTAAATGCGCTGGGCTTTCCTCATTGACTTTGATTATGTTACCAAATCTCTCCGTCCTAGCCGTAGGCTCGTGAAGTTTCTCTTGCAAAACTAAACGCAAAAAGGATTGAGCTGGTGGAACGACCTCCAAAACGACCTCAGATTGTACCACTCCTTACTCTCTCTTAGATTTATCACCACTGTCTCAAAAGATTCAGAATTCATCCCAACATTCACGGTGTCTCATAGAGCTTCCTTTCTCGCCCCAGTTGTTTGTGTTTCAGGAAGATGCCGCGATACCAGGTAAAACGCATCCTCGAGTTTTCACAGTATTTAGTTATCGGGACTTCAAGGACCAAAAATATCAAACAAACTTTAGTAAAATCAACAACTCACTCCTACCGCGGCGCAAAACTTCATGATCTGCTTAAAACAATTTTGCAATTTAGAACAGAGCGCCTAAAAACAGTAACAAAAGTTGCAGGACACAATGATAACAGGCTGCATTCACAGGAAATAGAACAGTAGTGGAATAACTTGATTAACATCATCGCTAACAAGTTTCAGCCCAAGACACTGGTCAGCCCCAAAACCAATCAAAACTATAACAACTCTGATGTAAACCGCAAAGCTTCCATTCATCATCATATTTTGTTTATTTCGATATTTAGATTTGTACATGCACATATAATTATTGTCTCTCCTAATCTCAATTCAAATCCAATCCCTCAAATATTCTGAATTTCTCGTTCTATGGCAATGATTTCATCACTAATTTCCTTGCAACGCTTTTTTTTATAAACTCTCTCGCTAATTGGACAACGCCGTCGTTCCTCAGATGACTACTCAAGCACATTGCCATGTTTGTAAAAACAGCTTGCGAGATGGAGATGTTTGGTTGGCGCTTCACATGCCCATACTACATACATGTAAAATGCAGCGGCCTAGTCGCAGCACTCATCACGATGACAATTTCAGCTGCCATCGCTGCACCTCCCACTTTCAAACAGCTAACGACACGCACCAATACAATCCCCCAACTCCATCCACACCCTTCCATTCCCCTTTCTCTCAAAAATCAAGAGAACCCTCCACTTTTGAACCTGTAACAACACAAGACCCGTGGTCAAACCTCTGTCCAGAACTCATTGAAGTCACAAAAAATATATACATCGTGGCGATCCACTGGAATTTGATCTTAAGGATTTTATCAAAAAACAAAGCTGGTTATAACTTCATTCAAACCCTCAGAAGAACTCTGATCAGCCTAATAGAAAACAACGAAATTAAGTTTGCAATGCACGCGGTAATGATCTTACAACACATACTATTGTGCAAAACAAAAACCGAAAACGATGAATCCTTATCTAAAACAAAGGCAACTTAAGCAATGGCAGAAAGAAGACCTGAATGACCTTGAAAATATGAAACAGACGATAAACTGAAAACTAAGTTGATCAGTTCAGCAACCTAAAGAACTACGGAAAAATATCAAGCGCAATAGCGAAACTAACAGACACATCCAAAAGCGTTCTTTCGCTCGACTAGATCGTCAAAGCTTAAATACTAGAACAGACTCTTATTGAGAAGCACCCACTATCTGAACCAATTGATGATAACTATACTACACCACTCTCTAGTGCAACAATCCCTTTCCGTACATCGATATTTGGCCGGATAAACACTTCACACTTCGCTTTCACACTTCGGACACCAATCAGATGAGATTCCAAAAACAAGAGCAAACATTTTAAAAAAATTTTGCTGCCTAAGAACTAAACTCAGAACTAACGGAACCATATAACGCATATAGATTAGCGCCCTTAGATAAGAACCATTAGGCGTAAGACCCATAGGCACAGAAGAAATTATGCATAGGATGTAAGGACGAACAATAACCAAATGAACAACAACTGGGTTCAAACTACCCACTCTGTCTAGGACAAAAATGTGGCTTTGAAATGCGATCCACACGTTAAGAGATGCGATTTACTGATAGATATCAGAAGTGCTATCAACTCTCTAAATTGGAAGCGGGTATTAAAAGCCTCGAAAATGACTGCCTATTGCTGTTAACAGCTATTAAAAACTCGTATTCAAATCCATCTAAACTAATCATTAACTAAAAAGAACATATATTCTCAAGAAGGGACAACCCAAGAATCCGCTAGCAAGGACCAAGTACGGTCTATTTTATCAGTAGACAGTATAACCCAGAAATGTTACGCAGATGATGGTAATGCAGTCGATAAATTAAGCAATCTACGAACCATCTCAGATGAAACTGTATCACAAAGCAATTTCTTTGGCTACCATGTTAAAGCATCCAAATGCCAGCTCATAGTCAAGATTGAAAAACCAAATGAAGCCGAGAAAAGCTTCGAAATTACAGGAATCACTATAAAAGCAGGCGCTTGAATGCTTGATTCTGTTATAGAAACATAATCTGAACGTGGCAATTTCCTCAATTTTCAACAGAATGAGTCAGCCAAAGAATTTAGGCCATAACCAAAATCCATAAAACTTCCCCTTAAATAGTTTATGTCTGCTCTACTAATGGCGTTTAAGAGAAGCTTTCGTTTTTAAGCGTGAAAGCGCCTAATACTAAGGAAAATATAGAAACGTGTGAAGAGATTATCAAAGAACAGCTAATATCTAACCTAGTCGATAAAGACACATTGAACCTTTAGTTCCGTGTGATACCTTCCTTACGCCTCAAAATGGACGGCCATAATATCAAGCGCCATCCGACCAAAACATAATCTAAGTAAACATCACTAATACTGGACTCTCATGATCCTGTTACTGAAATAACACATGAAGAAAAATTTGTATGGAAATCAAAAAAGTAAAAACTGATGGGGCAAATCAAAAAGAAACAAACCTTATAAACTCATTAAATAAAACTGACAACTATGCAATCGACTTAGCATGAGAAAAGAGAGTGTCTAAGTGGCTCATTGCTTTACCACTAAGCAGATACAACTTCAACCCATATAATTAGATTTCAGAGATGGCGTTTACTTAATATACGGATGGGAACCGGCCAAAAACCCACTCACATGTGCATGTGGTCCAAACATTAACTTGACTCATGCCCTACACTGTGCAAAGAGAGGTCTTCCATACGCCTTAAAATGGGCAGCCATAATATCAAGCGCCATCCGACCAAATTATAATCTAAGTAAACATCACTAATACTGGACTCTCATGATCCTGTTACTGAAATAACACAGGAAGAAAAAATTGTATGGAAATCAAAAAAGTAAAAACTGATGGGGCAAATCAAAAAGAAACAAACCTTATAAACTCATTAAATAAAACTGACAACTATGCAATCGACTTAGCATGAGAAAAGAGAGTGTCTAAGTGGCTCATTGCTTTACCACTAAGCAGATACAACTTCAACCCATATAATTAGATTTCAGAGATGGCGTTTACTTAATATACGGATGGGAACCGGCCAAAAACCCACTCAAATGTGCATGTGGTGCAAACATGAACCTGACTCATGCCCTACACTGTGCAAAGAGAGGTCACTCACACAAAAGACACAATGAAACTAAAGACATTTTTGCCAACCTCATGAATGAGATATGCCATGACGTCGAGGCTGTGCCGAAACTTTAGCGTTGCAAGGCAAAAGGTTTGTCACCAATTCAAATACAGTTGAAGAAGAAGCGCGATTTGACATTAAATGGAACAGACTATGGTGCTCCGATTTAGCCTCTCTTTAACCCCTTGCCAAAACATCGCGAAAACTGATCAAAGACGTATACAAATAGCACGAAACGTTGAAGAACTCCCAATATCAGTCAATAATATTGAACAGTGAGGAGCAAACTAGCTTTTACTCGCTGATTTTGAATGCAACGGTGGCGCTGCTCCGACAGCCATGCGGACGATACATTGACTAGCCGAAATATTTCATCGGCAACTCTATACAGGCGCCCTTGTAGAGAAAAGACGGCTAAAAGCATTCAACATTACGATGATTCATTTAATGTTGACACATGACTTCATTGATACAATGATACAGTTTGCTAATATATATGCGTTTTATAAAGCTGGTATGGCCCTATTCAGCTTATGCACTGACCGTAACTAAACGGAGGGGACCATTTTGTAATTTATCTAATGTTTCAATTTCAAAATTTTTTTTGTTTCAAAAATTATAATTGGTTGAATATATTTATGATTTATAATGCATTTCTTTTCATTAAGTACTTGGAACGCCAATAATTCCACTTAGGGAGTTTCAATTAATTTGAAATGATCAATTTTCTAGCTCAAGCTATGTTTTCAAGATATCGTGATTGTTTTTAAATTTTTTTGCAGTAAATCTGACAAAAAAACGCAGACAAAAATCGCAAAATCTCAAAACATTTTTATCTTCAAACTTTTTTTTCAGTTAAACCTAATTCTCCACTTCACAGGCAATCTCACATATTGTAAATCTCATTAAATCGTCGTCTTTCCTCTTCTTATCTTAGAATTCTGATGCTAGACGGCTAATAGGATCTTTTTTGGGGAAAAAAGAAAAAAATTGATCACCATGCTCCGTATAGCGGCAGACATTTTGTGGGTACGAAGATCTCTCTGTTTGGTCTTTCCAAGTCTCGGAAATTGGATTTTTATGTTTTTCAAAATTATGACAAGTATGTAGTTGGAAAAATATATATTTTTTCTTTCTTGACTGCCAATTCATTGAATACTAAAAACTTTTGGTGCATCAAGACTATATATGGCTATGAAAAAAAACTGTTATCAAAATAAGGCTAGAGAAGATTTTGAATTTAATTTGATCACTTGAAGGTAACGAGACAAGCTCGAGGATTGCTGGGTAAAAAAGGAGTTGCTATTTGCACCCACGCTCCTTTAGCCATTCCAAACTCAAATTTTCTAACCTTGCATCGATTTGTGGAATGGATGGAGTATCAGATTATGATTGGAATAGATGTGATTATTATGCCTTATCCCATGAAAATAAGTCAATTTCCACTCCCTGATGAAATTGATAGAGCACTGCACTATTACGTCAAAAAAGGTCATCTTCGCCTGATGGATCTGCCTTATTACAGGTCGAGAGCGCTTCCAACTCAATTAAACATATTCATTTTTCAATTTTAACGGAACGCCCTTGGTTTGAAACTCCAACCAAGTAGTTTTAGTTCAATTTAAAGTAATTGTTAATTAGTATCATAATCAAGGGTGGATTTAGGTTTTTCTCGAGGGTTTGATTTTGAAACATTTTGTCGCCCTTTTTTTCTCCATGCTCTCCCAAATCCATTTAAATATTTGTTTTTGTCGCAGATAATTTTTTTGAAAAACCGAGCAAAATAGCGAGAAAAAATGCATATTTTTGCCCCTTCCCACAAAATTAGTCTATATTAGCGCCTAAGTCGCCAAGGCGCCTTAACGAAGTATTTAGGTTACGTCAGCCAAATCTGGACATCCTAAAAGGGTACCACCAGACTAAAAAATCAGCGGCGTTAAAACTTTGAAATTTTTTGAGTAATTCCAGACTTTCCCACTCTCAAAAGTATGAGCGAAAAAAATTTTTACCACTTTTTTGGCAAAATTTTCTACATTGAGAGACTATTTTTGACAAAAACTGGGGAAAAATCATGTTTTTGAATTTTTTTTAGAAAGTTTAGGCAAAGAATTGTCCATCAAAATTACTGTATGTTAGCATCAAAGCGTCATCAGAACACTTTTCGGGCGGTGTATTGAATAGCATAAAGCTCGACTAGCATAAAAATCGAAACTTATAAATCAAATTGAATCTCTTTCACTACACTTTTAGGGTGCCTACCACGAAAAGTCTATGATTAGTGATTTTTCATATATGATTAGTGATTTTTCCATAAACCAAAAATTTTGATTTTTTTTAATTCGAGTTTCTCAATTTTTTTTGGTATTTCTCAAAATTTTCATAACCGAACACAAGTGACAAAAAGCTTGGTCACTCAAACGTACAGTAACCAGAGGTTTGACCGTCTCGCAATGTAAAAGTGCATTGGAAACGGCCTGAAATGTCTCAATTCTTCTTACACAAATAATGTAAAAAAAAACTATCAAACTTTTAAGGTGTGGCGAAATTTTTCAACAATGAAAATTTTTAAAAATTTGAATTTTCAAACTATCAGACATTCGTTACAATGTACATAGAGGGTGGAAATTTTAACAAGATCCCCACTCCCCTTGGACTTTGTTGGATTAACTGTACAATGTCCCCCAAAATTGATTTATGGGGGAGAAAATAGGTTTTTTTTTTAGGAAATAACTTAGAGTTTGAGAGCCCGGGTTGACCAAAAAATACTAGTCATACAGTTTTCATATATGGATAATGCTACTCATACAATTTTCATGCAATTCCATAAGTACATAAAATTGCATGAAAGGTCTATGATTAGTATTTTTTCATATATGGAAATTGTATGACTAGCATTTTTCCATAAACCAAAAAATTAATTTCTCAAAATTTTTTTGGTTGTGTTCATAACCAAACACAAGTGACAAAAAGCTTGGTTACTCAAACGTAATAACCAAAGGTTTGGCCGTCTTGCAATAAAAATGCATTGGAAACAGCCTGAAATGTTTTAATTCTGTCTCACACAAATAACATTACGAAAGTAACGAACTTCTAAATTTTGGCAAAAGTTTTTGAAGATGATGGTTTCTAAAATTTTAATTTTTAAATTACCAGACATTGATAAAGGCATACAAAAACATGACATACAAAAGAAAGAGGAGTTTTAAGCGTTTTTGACAAAAGTTATGAAAAGAAATGGTAAAAAATCCAATATTAGTATATCCAGGACTACGTTATACAGACAAAAAATTAAAATTTGCATGCAAAGTTTTTTTAAAAAATGTTTGTTTGAGTACGAAAATCAATTTGCGGTTGAAAAAAACCCAAAAAAAAATTTGGGGCAACTTTAAAAATACTTTGAAAAATTTTTGTCGTCGCCATCAAAAAATGCTAGTCATACAATTTCCATATACGGAAATTGTATGATTAGCAATTTTTTGACAAAAAGTTTTTCTTTTTTATTTAGTTCTATAAACTAATTTTAGTACGATAAGCCAAAACAAGAGGAAAGTTGTCGAAAATTCAATGACATCATTTTTGCAAAATGTATGAAATTTGTATGATTAGTATTTTCTCATAGACTTAGTTTATACAATTGTATGATAAGCATTATTGGTCTATGGAGGTCACCCCGGGGGTTCCTTAGATTTATAGAAAAAAAAATTTATTTACTGAAAATTCATTAAAAATCCATAGTTTAGGTGATTAACAACATTCATGTGCAATCACACATGAAAATTGTGACAACCAATTTTATAAGCGCGTTTGTTCGAAATGCAATCATTATATAGAATTAACTTTCAAATTTAATACGTAACTAGGGGGAAATTCTGCGGTTTATCACTTAGCGGGCGGGGGGGGGGATTGTACGGCTGATTCGTATTGTTTTATGACCTTCAATTTTGCAGTGTTAAACTTTTTGAAAATCACAACCGCCCTTCCACCACCAATCGAGAAAATCCCAAATACCCCCTGATTATATGGACACAAAACAAACATAAGTAACGGTTGTTTTTACGCATTTCACAATTTGTGCAGCATTCAGAGCTCCGTTCCAGCCATTGCTGATCATAGCTTTATTTAAATTTAAGAAATTTCATTTGCTTGATATTTGCTTAATTTATTCAGTTAATTTTCAATTTCTCAGAAATGCAATTTTTACTTTGAAACGATTGTTTTTTTTGTATATCCGAGAACTAAAGCTATCAAAACTATGATACATTTTAAGGTTTTCGAACTTTTATGCTAATCGAGCGGTCACCCACTTTTCGGACTGGTCAGCAAAAAATGAAAATTGTTCTCATAATATATATAGTACGAAAGAGCGACTGCAAAAATTTGGCTATATCACCGCGGGAGGGGAAGGGGGTATTAGAGGCAGACGGATCCATTCAATATCATTCAATATTATGAGAATCAATATTTTGTAGAGGCAACAGTTTTTCTCGAGATGTCCACTGCAACTTTTTTTCGCTGCTTCAACTTTGTATAAATCAATTTATATCAGAAAGGCGATAATGAATAAGATCAAAATGAGAAATATGTTTAACTGCACTGATCAGAGAAGGACATCCTGGTATCCCTCAGGTAAGCAAAAAACGTTTCATATACTCTGAGATGTTATCAATACAACCCGCACTGACAGAAATGGTTTCCGGTCGATTTAAATTGATTTTAAATCGATTTAAAATCAATCCAAATCAATTAACCATGTACATTTTACGAACTTAAATGGATTTTTAATCGATTTAAATTTCAAAAAAATTGATTTAAATGGATTTTGATGGATTTTCCGACTCCCTAATATCCATCCGAATCTCACTTAAATCCATCAGAATCTCACTTAAATCCATTTTAAATTGATTTAAATCGATCTTTTTGAAAATTTTAAATCGATTTAAGTGTCTACCCGTACCGAACTTTTTGGCCATAATCATATCTGATCATTGTAAAATCATGCAAAAGTCATGTCTGTAACAGATGTGCAGCATGTCTATATTCGGCATGCACATACCTGCATCAGACCTGCGTCAGGTGTGCTAACTGAAGATATGCTCACACCTGCAACATGCATGATCATGCCTGAACTGAACATGCTCACACCTGCAGGATACATGATCATACCTGAACTAAACATGCTCACATCTGCAGGATACATGATCATGCCTGAACCGAATATGCTCACAACTGCAGGATACATGATCATGCCTGAACTGAATATGCTCACACCTGCAGGATACATGATCATGCCTGAACTGAATATGCTCACACCTGCAGGATACATGATCATACCTGAACTAAACATGCTCACATCTGCAGGATACATGATCACGCCTGAATCGAATATGCTCATAACTGCATAAACGCCTGAACTGGTAGTTCTTGCTACACTCTTTTTTTAAAAAACAGAATCAAACATAGAAAAAAATGGCTTCAAATCGTGATCTTCAGTATTATAAGATAATTAAAGAAATTGTTAAATTCCAACAACATCATAAACTCACCTTAATAATGTGACACTTTACATCAAATTTTTGGTTTTTTCTCAGATATTTTCTGACATATCGGAGCAGTTTCTGTGTATGTTAAACAAGAGATCAGTTTTGGTACAGGCGTCTTCTGGAATGGGCGTGCCCCTGGATGATCGGGTTGACATCGCTCGTCTGCTGGATGTCACAGGCCTAGGGTGTGGCAGGGATGTAAAAAAATATTTTGTATTTAAATATATTGACAATAAATACATTTAAATAATTTATTTTCCAGTTCAAAAAATAAAATATATTTATTTTTCGTAACAATTATTGTTTGAATTGCAAAGCAGGTTTCCAATAGACGGCTGCTAGGACTATTGCGTTAAACACAGATTGGGCGATTTCGGGCACCAGCTAAAGGAACAATGGCCATGTAAAAATATACGTTTTGTTTTTGTAGGGAAATATTTTATTTCGGGGTCTACTGTGCAATAAACGGATGTCCGCATTTTAATTGCTGGTTATAATGTATAGGGCCAATTGGCAAATTTCAACAGCAAGCAGATAGACGGCTGCGAGCACTTTTGCGTTAAATACAGATTGGGCTATGCCGGATACCAGCGGAAGGAAGATGGCCATGTTAGCAGCCGATTCACCTTTTTCCGAAGAAGGCGAAAATTAAATTTTGTTGATAATTAACTCAAAAAGAAAGCAAACTCCTTCAATTTGGGTCAGCGGAGAGTTAATCCGTCTTAGAAATTGTTCCAAATTAGTTGAAAGAAGCTTATTTGCCATACTGATTTGTTGCATACTTTATATGGCGTGTGGGGGGATGATTTTCATTTAAAAAAAATCAAACTTTAGAAAAAAAATTCATTTTGTTGTATTTCATTTAATTTTTGAATGTTATTACTGCTCCAGAAACCGTGAAAGGTAGTCGGAACATTCAGGGCTTTGCCCTGATACGAGCAGTCTTGTCGGTTTTAATTTCACTTTGTTCCAATCTACTTTAACAAATAAAATTAGAAAAAAATCATGCGCACATTTGTTGTTATTTTTTTCAATGAGGTTAATAGTATCAACCAATCAAATTTCTTTAATTTATCTGCAATTGTTTTGGCTACTGGTTTGCGAAAATTGAAAGATTTTTTTATGTTCCGATCAAAATTTATCAAATTTTAAAAAAATCATGCGTTAAAAAGTAGTCGCACATTTGTTGTTAATTTATTCAATGAGATTAATAGTATCAACCAATCGAATCTTTTTAATTTAACTTATTGCGGCTACTGGTTCGCGAAAATTGAAGGATTATTGGCCAAAAAATTTTATGACGAATATCTTTAATTATAGTTCAAACCGGGGATATTTAGTTTTTTTCAACTATCCCTCCCGTTGACCCCCTGAAACTAACCTGACGTCCTCTTTTTTGGGATGTAGATACGACATAATTTCCTTCATTTGAAGATAGTTGGCTCGAGGAGGTAAATTTGGATAAACTCATGTCGAACAAAATCTGAAAAAGTGAAATTTTAACAACAAAGACCAATTAGTCAAGATACGCGAAGTAATGTATAAATAAACATGAATTTGTCAAGTTTTCAGTCAGGCGTTATCATGTCTGCGGCAGGCATGAACATGTTTCACTCAGGTCTGATCATGTAAGATCCAGGTACGACCATGTCTGTAGAAAAACACGCATGCTCACTTGTGAACAGCCCTTCATAATGGGGGAACAGTCCTGAGAATATTCTCTCCCCTGCTAAATGGATGATCAGCCGTGAAATGGCGCAAAAAGTTCAGTACGGGTAAAAAATTGATTTAAATTGATTTTGATTGATTTTCCGACACGCTCAAATTGTTTTTTTTTGCTAGCAAGGCAAGAAAACATGCTTTTTAGATGACTAACTGTAATATTTTATTCTTGATTTTTTAATAAAAACACACGTGCCAGATGTTTCAGAATTCAAGAACTAAATACAAAATGTTAATATAAACCAAATTTTGAGCACAAAAAAATGCAATAAAATTATTAAAAAACTATCAATATAAATCAGATATTGGGTAAAAACCAATGTATTAATTAGAGAAAAAAAATCGCTAAAAATCAAAACTTAAGCTCAAAACGAAAATCTAGAAAATCCTTATTGTATATCAGATTTCGTTCATTAACATATATAACAAATCAAGAAAATTGTCAAAACAAACCAGATTTTGAGCTCAAATTTATGCAATGAGATCATAGAAAATCATCATTGTAAATCAGATTTTGGGCATCAACATATTTGACAAATAAAGAAAAATGTCCATAGAAATCAGATTTTGAGTTCAAAAAATTTTCCATTCTTGATCTTGTTTTACAAGCATTTTAGTCAATTTTGGTACCTGTAACGACACGTAACAAAAGTTTCTTTTTTTCGTCATTCGTTATTTTGAAAAAAAAAGCGTAAAAAAAGTTGATTTAAATCTATTTAAAATCGATTTGGATTGATTTCATTTTAGGTGAGATTTAAGATCCCTTCAAATTGATTTAAAATCAACTGGAATCGATTTTTCTAGCGTTAAATTTAAAACAATTTAAATCGATTGAAAATCGTTCCAAATCGATCTATACTTTTTTTTTTTTATTTACTTTTTTACAAACTAAATCGATTTTAATTTAGTGTGCATACTTTTTCATACTAAAATTGATCAAAATCTATTCTTTTCAGTGCGGGAATAGCCGAGGATCTCTTTAACTATCTTCTTTTTTAAAGTGGGAAATTTTTTTTACCAGGTTCAAATAAGCCTAACCGTTGATTTATAGTTGTTTATAGGGCAATTCGTTACTGGGTACCAAAAGGGCGATTGTTAAACAGATCCCTATTAGCGATTAGCATGAAAACAGGAAAAAAGCGAGTGACCACTCGCACTGAACAAACTGAGATCGAAATCGATTTAATTAGATTTTTATACAGCTACAATAGTGCAAAAAAATGAAATTACGATAGCACTTTTAGATAGGTAAATCAATTTGTAATGGATTAAACGGATTTTTGCAGGGCAGTAAAATCATTCATATTCTAACAAAAATGATGTAAGGTAACTTTTATTTTAAAAAAATCACATAAGAATAACCTCCATCGAGCTGCAGACCAAAAGTCGCTCGAGGATAATTTTTTTTCGTAAAATATTGTAATGAAAGAATTCCTTATGAGTTTTTCAAATCTAAGGGCCCTCAGTATGAAAAAAAAAATTAAGCTAAATTTTTCCAAAATTCATTTTCTTATCAACGCTCAAGGCCCAATTATCTTGTGCAAATGACATACAGATGAAAACTGAACTGAGAGAAATTCAATTTTGACGCAGAAAGTTTACAAGTTAGTTAGATTCTTTCAGGTCAACGAGTTTTTTTTCAGGTCATACAACATCACGAAATCGGATAAAAATATACCTTATAAATTTCTTTTCAGTAAGAATTTAGAATGTTTTAGATCGTAGAATGTTTTACCTTGAGACTTGCAGGCAGTATGTAGAGACTAATAGTGGGTTAAGATGGGTTAGTCATTAAGTGCAGTTGAAATTGAGACCTCGCATATTTCGCAACTGCCCCCCCCCACTCCCCCGGATTGGGAACCACTTGTTTGATCCCAATGAGAGTTGGAGGTGTTATAATAGAGATGATTTAAGCCCGGCATGAAAAAACTCAGACTCCCGGAACCCCTGGAAGGCAAGTGATAACAATTCACGAAAAAGCAGTGAGCATTTTTTTGTAAAACAGTCGGAATGACTTTTTACTTGGACCGGTGATAGACCTAGGCAAAGAGAGTTCGTTGCTAGATTTTTGAGCACTTCCGGCCATTACTTCAGGTTTTACGCCCTATGTAAACAAAACACTTTTTTGGCTATTTTTCAATCACCAGTAACGTTAGGAAGCTGAAAATTAGAGGGTTGAAAGGTTAGCAAGATGCCTATAACATATCCAAGTTTGAATCTAATCCGAGGACTACGCCGGAAGCTTTTCTTACCTAAAAACCGGAGGTAGGCTAATTACACCTAATAGTGATAATTAATTTTCGATTTTTTTGCAGCAGTGGATATTGAACCCCAGCCCAGTAAGATCACCCCTCGTGACCCAACCCTCCTCGGGCCTCCTTCCGGTGGAAATGACAATTTCCGGAAAAAGTGCTAATATACCCAAATTTGATGAAAACATGGGAAGGGATGATCGGATATGAATGAAAATTGGTGGGAATGATCCATCAGCGGTCCTAAGTTGCTTAACCTTGTTTGAACCCATCTAACCGCTGGTGAAATCTATTTGACTTTGTAGCATTTGGGATCTTCAGACCGCAGGATACACCTAAAAAGCGATAAATTAGCACTGTAAGGACCCGTAAGGGGTGAATACCCGTTTAAGGACTAAGTGGAGGTCCTCAACACCAGAAACTTAATTTTTGACCTTTGGACCTGAGCGAAAGTGCTTAACATGTAATTAGCAAGCATGGGGGTCAACTTGACACACCCCACTTGGATTTTGGATAAGGTTGTTAAACAAGTTTAAAAAACCAGCCCCGGACTTGTGTGCTCATGTATGGGAGAAATTGGAATCACGGTAGGAATTTTCCATGATTAGCCGTGGCATCGGAAATGATTTCTCATGGTGTTTTTGGGCCCATATCGGACACGGGGAAGGAAACGGCCCAGCCGTGGAACTTAGGGGGAAACTTAAAAAATAGGACGAAATTGAAAACTTTTGGGCTCATTTGGGAAAGCAACAATCCACCCGTTTAGGTGAACTACCCAATCCATTGAAAAGGGAAAAATTAGGGATAAATAAACTTAAGTCATGCAAAATGTCATTGGTCAAAAGCGATTGGTTAATTAGTTTGTAGTTGAGCCCGATATTTGCTAAATATGTCCTGACTAGTTGAGTTCGATCGCGGTGTTTACTTAAGGGTGCCCTGAATGGTGGTTAAGCTGATAGTTCTTGAGTATTAGCTAATTAAGTGAAAGTCAGTTCTCATGCGGAGTGATATCATTCTGACCTGAATGAGAAAATAAAAAGGCATAACGATAAGCTGTTAAGGTAAAACCTTAGAGAGAGAGACAAAAACAACTGGGTTAGAGTATAGTTGGTTCTCGTTTGTAGAAAACTTTTGAGGCTTGGAGAATTCAGACGGCCCTAAAGTGTGACACGTGTAATTTCTGAATAGTTAGTCACGAGAGTCTCAGAAAAAGTGCGTACTCCATAGTGCGTAACCAGTAATAAAGAACTATTTCTAACTTATCTGGTATGCTTATTGCTAATATTGCTGTATTATTGCTTTTCTAGCAATAGTACCCTCACCTGGTACGCCGTAAGAAATGTTCAACTATTACTTTGCTTGCATATGATATAAAAATTGGCAGGGTAAACTGTTGGCGGGTAAACTGTTGCACATTGGTTCTTGCCTGTTCTGTGTAATATTATATGTTTCTTTATGATTTGCCATTTATGAGAAAATCTAAGTTATTCCAGTCTAAATTTTGTTTGCATCAAATTATAGTTCATTTTCGTGCGTAAAAATGATACTGCCGACTTTTTCTTCAGAGTTTACAGAATAGTAAGAATAGCCCAAATCATAACATTTTTTAAGGAACCAGTCGCTGTTTACAAGATGTTGGCTTGGTCAAAACTGTTACATATGACACACTGCTATCTCAAGCACGCTCTGGAGTTCGAATATATCCTGTCTCTTGACCTGGATGAGGTACCTGGGTTTCACGTGGATCGACGGCCCAACATTTCAGAAGCCATATCCTCAATGAAAGCTGCTCTGGGAAGTTCAGGTTATTTCAAATTAGGCTTTAGCTTGTGTCAATTTAATCGCTTCCTCGTTAACAACATTACGTTAACAAAAAGGCCAAACTGTGCATTTTGTGAATTGTAACCCGAGTCGAGATTTTTCACCTAATTTGAAGCAAGATTTGAGCGGTTTGAGCGGTTTTTTTAGACAATTACGCTCAAAATCTTGCTTCAAAATGAGCGGTTTGAGCGGATTCCGCAACAAGGACGCTACCTTTGTTCTTCTTTTGTTCTTTCATTTTCTTTGATAGTTGCGACTAATTTTAACATGTTTAAAGACTTGTACTTGGAATCCAGGAACATACAGACAAAAAATGTAACGTATCAAGTGCACAGTTTGGCCCCGTAATGAAAAAAGTTAATCATATGATTCCATAGCATGGAAAAATAGAACAATTCCAAAGAAAAGATTTGTATGGAAAAGGCACGATAAGCCTTTCCCATACTAATGTGAATTGTAATATAAGCGTTTTTCCGATAACTAATATTTTTAACGTTTTGAATTTGGCCTTATAATGTTCTTTTGTTCAAAAAAAAATCTCACAGATAAAATGGATTTGGAGATTCATCTTCTAATTAAACTGATGAAAAACCCAGAGATATAAAAAAATTGTAACTATCTGTTTGTGGATGAAGCTTTCTACTTCAAAAACTCCGGGTTGTTTTTTGGCAGTTTTTTGGTTATATTACCACATGAAATTTGAAAAGTTATATTGATTATGGCTTTCGGTCTGTTTTGTTTGAAAAAAATTAAGACGGACTACTTTTGAGACGTAGGTACATCAGTTTGGTTGAGCATAAAGGCGATTTTTTTTTCTCATTTTTGAAGTGACATTCATTACGAAAATATTATTTAAAAAATTGCATTTTGAGCAGGGGCGGATCTAGGATTTTCTCGAGGGGGGCAGATTTTCAAAAAAATTTTGAAATTTTGTGGGCCTTTTTTTAGGTCGAGCAAATTGATTTTCCGAGCTCTGACAAAGCAGTAAAAAGTCCAAAATTTGGCCAACATTTCTGCGCCGCAGGCAAAATTTAAAAAAAAAATAGGCTAAAATGGCGTTTTTAGGTTCTTTTTGGAAATTGTTTACCAACGTTTACGATCTCAAGTTCTCTAAATTTGAAAGTGGTGAAAATGCTAAATGAGATGGTAGTAGTAGCGGGAAACTGCACATTGGGGCGGTATTCCTTGTCTTCTTGGCAGGCGGGGGTAGGGATTATCTCTGTTCCTGTTTTACAAAAACGATTTTACTGCAATTTTACTGCTGTGTCATTTTACTGCAAAAACAATTTTACTGCTACATTTGTTACATCGCCTTTGTTTGATTTTTTGTTGCAAGCTTCAGTTTAGATTAACATGTATTCACATTAGTGTAAACAGGAGTTCATGATAAGATTGTTAAACAATATTTTGAGATTTACACTTAAAAGCGAAATTTCATTAGAAGATTGTTCAATAAAGAACACCCTTGCGTCCAACCTAACCAGAATTTGGTTCGGCGGACACATGTATCAGCCTAACAAAGGGCGGGTAAATTTCCCTAAAGCGATTTCTTAATTTATATGACTTTGCTATACGAACAAGGCCGGTAAGTGGCGGTGTTACGCGGCCAATTTATTTTGGGGTCTATTCTTCATTTACATTCCCTTCTCCATTCTTGAGTCCAGGATGAAGACTTGAGTGCAGCGTTTTCGTTAAACATGCAGATTGGTAAAACTATAGAAGGTCTTACCAATATGAAGTGGCTAGGGGTTTATCGATCTTTGTCTGTATTGTTACTTCGTACAGGGGTTAGTGGCATTGAGCTGACAAACTCTTCTGTTTGACAACAATTGGAGAGAAAAAGTCTCAAGACAATTCTACTGAATTCAGTTTAATGAGCTCGATAGTCAAACTTTGTTTGAGAATGTGAAGGAGTCTGTACCACGGCCCGCCAAAATGAGGAGTAGAAGGAAAATTGAGACGCCACTGATCTGAACAATTGAGAATGTTGTTTCTCGGTTTTGAGCGAATGTTTTTTTTCTGAGTTTTTGTTTGGCACCAAGAAAAATAGAACAATTGTTACGAGTCAGCTAAAAAATAAACGTAGCCTCTTGTTCTTTCTTTATCCACAAGAGAATCAGAGTCATACGTATTTCAGGCCAAAATTAGTTTAAAAAAAGTTTTTTTTTCTGTGTAGGGGTCAGTTAATTGCTATATCTCCAACATCCTTCCCTAAAATAATGTGTTGCAATTTGGTGAACAGGTAACCGCGCCCTTTATCGAAGCCTTTGAGATGTACATTGCAACGACATTTAGAAGTGACCAAATCCTAATTTTGAGATACCCATGCGGTTGCGGGTAACAAGTTTGTACTTGAAACTTTTTTTGTCGCATCTATGAAGGGTTTGAAATAGATGCCTTGTCCATTGAGTTCGTCCAGTTTTTGTTTGAAATCTAAGCAATGTCAGTTGACGACGACATGAGCTATGCGAGCTCCAAGTGCCGCTGCTTGTAATTCGAGTTTGAGTACAATTTTATGGGCTGTTTTATGGGCGCACATATGGGAAACGGGCACAAGGTTTGATAATTATTACAAACACGATTGCAGATCACTGCCTTATAAACAATTTGTGAGTCGTCTATTACGACATGCAACTGATATCTTAGGTTGAATATGTCAAAATGAAACATCTTGGAAGCTAAAGCAAGTCAATTGAAACTTGAAAAACTTTATTTTTTTTTCTTCGGAAGCAGAATTTGAGATTTGGAGGTTTTCGACATAATTTTGAAATTTGGTAGGTATTCAGACTGCTCCAGATTTTTTTCAATGTCTCGTTTTTTTGCAGCCAGGCTGAAAACTTCAGTGTAGCGTTTTAGTTAAGAGTGCAGGCTGGAGAATTTACAAAAGGCCTCCCCAGTATGATCTAGTTTGGGTTCAGGGGGCTCTGTACAGGGCTCAGTGGCTACCGTTTCGATAGCCTTCTGGCTTTTGTTTTGGAAGACTTCTGTTTCGTCGGCAACAATTGTAGAGAAAACGTATCATGACAGTTCTAGTGAGCCAAGACTCAAAAAAAGAGCTCTATAGTCAAACTTCGACTGAAAATTTGAATGAGTCTCTACCACTTCCCTTTAAATCAGGAGCAGAGAGAGAGAGGGTCGAGACACCATTTTACTAAACGTTTGAGTCTGTTTTTTTTTCAGTTTTTCTTTGAGTTGACCGAGCGGTTTTTTGTAGTTTTTGTCTGGCACCAATAGAACTCGAACCATTGTCTTAAGTGAACTACTTGATATTGCTCTTCTACCTTTGACCGTGCTCTACCAATGAAGGTTAGATGCCTCTACCTGCAAATAAAATGTAGATCGTGACGCTATTTAGAAGTAGCGAAATTTTTAACGTAAGAAACCCTCGCGGTTGCCCACAACAGTTTCGTCTATAAAAAAATTATTACATCTTTGACTGCTTTGAAGTAGTTGTATTTTCCTTGAGTTCGTCGATTTTTTAGTTGTTCAAGAATTCCATAGCTGTTCATTGTGATGAACAATTGAGGAAGACGTTGTAGGGGTTGAGCGTGCCCCTTGTGAATTTTCAGTTTTTAGCATTGGTTTTTTCTTGAACTTCTTGCATGCGGTGTGCAATATAGTTTTTCAACTTTACATCAGTACAACAGTGCTGTGACGCCAATATGGTTTTCATTGAGATCTACGGAATGTCGGTTGACGATGATTTCAACTAAGCGAGCTCCAAGTACAGCCGCTTGTAGTTCGAGCTTAGGTATACTTAAATTTTATGGCTCAATTTGGCCCGACTTGTCAGAAAGAAGCACAAGGTTTGACGTTTGTCCTGAACACGATTGCAGATCACACTGCAATGAGCACTTTTGAGGCGCCGATAAAAGCATGAAACGGACATTTTGGGTTAGAAAATGGTCAGTTTGAATCATCTTGGTATTTTGAAAAAAGTAGAAGCTATATACCTCTCAACCCAAACTTAAGGCTTTTTTTATTATGCGGAAGCACATAATCACACGCAACGCCTTCTTCTCAAGTATCTCCAAGAGTTTTCATCAATGTTATAACTGCTAAGGCCATGATATCAAGAATAAAAACAAGCAAGCGATGAATAACATGAGTTTCCGTATAAAGTATTTTCTTTTCCTGTAGTTTCCAGTTTTGACAACCTTGAATCATGAAGACGGCTTTGTTTTTATTCTACATACCAGCCAGGACACGGAAATTTGTTTCGTCTGTGCCACATTGATAAACCAGGACAGTTAAGGCAGTCAATTGATTTCAACTGAAACAATTTTTGTCAGGTTGAATCCAACTCTAAAAAGGGTAAACTTGAGACTCTGAGTAAACAATCCACTTTTTTTTTCAATTTCAAAGAAGTGCACAGATTTTTCCATGTTGAATCTTTTTGGAGTTAGTAGTTTAATTTCCTAAGACTGTGCAAACTCATGAGCTGTTTGCTCTAGAACTAAATTAGCTATTGATTGCGAGCATCTGGCTCTAATTATCAGCCTTTTTTGCCGACACTGTTTTCTTGTGCTCGTTGTTATTCACGGAAAACTAAGGTCGGGTTGATCCTTTTCTATGATATCTGACTGCTTGAACTTAGTTTTAACCCCTGATAATGCAGCGTTATGGTGTTCGCGAAACTGTAGGGGGAAACTAACCAAATTAGGGATAACATCAAGTCCAGTTCGCAGGTTGCTGTTGAGTGAACTTGCTTTGATAAATGATGCTGCTTTAGAAACTTTTCAAAATTTTCAATTTATTCTTTTTCGTTAGAGACGGGAAGATGGAGGAGATACCATAATCACTCTAGTGATTGGTCGCTAAAGCGACAACTTTTCATAGTGTTTCTTGATATCTGTATCTAGAGTGTTATGATACAACTCTGGGAGAAGCGAGTGTTAGAATACACCTCTGGGAGAAGCGGGTCTTTTTCTAAACGTTTTTGAAGGCTTGGAAGTCGTGCCTTAGCCGAGCTGAAATTGTTAG